CTATAGTACAAAGTCTGCGCTACCCAAAAAGTATGTTCGAGAAAAACAACTGCTTGTCAGTAAAGAGGTAAAACTCATGCTTTTCTGGTTTGTTCTCAACAGATGAATTTAAGCAGTGCAGACAAAATCCTTTTTTAGCCCAAAAGAAGTTCAAATGACCTTTGAAGAATAATGGGATGAATTGTATGGTTTTACTTAAATGTCTCATATAAATACAGTGGTGACTTCAACTTATCAAAAATGACAAGAAAACTGTAGGCGAATTTTCGATCTACAAGCAGTATCATAAACAAAGAATGGATCAAGAAGAAAAACAAATAAAATATGGTGACTAAAAAGATATTCATTTCTGCAAAGTAATCTTCAAGCATTTTTCTGCTGCAGAAACTGAATGAGTGCTTGAAGAAAGATGCTAATGTTAAGGTCTAGTTTTAAATTATGCAAAACACCTTTCAAAGATGTTAAGGCAACACTTCAAGGATTTTCACACTTCCACAAAAATTGCTATTTTTTTTTGTTGAAAATAACTGAAAAAAAAAAAAACAGAATTTCATTGCCAAGACTTTCTTTATGTTCTTTTACAAGCCTGTACAAATCACAGTAAGAAAAGGTAACATTTAAATTGGTATTTTTTTCTCATTGTGCATAAAATTTTAGTTAAACTGTTCTCACCCAAGAAACACACGGCAGCTCAAGTCAAATGGGATTTTCCTTCCTAACTTTCTCAGTGATACTCATTGGCATTCAGGATGTGGTGCTGTGTGTGTGCCTGTCTGAGAGTCGACTTTAAGTCAACTGTAGGTTAGTGTTCCTTTGAATTAGGAGACCGGCTCCCCTTAGGCACCCATAAAAGTGCCTGAAGCAAAAACTAGTCAGTAGCTTCTTCACCTTGCCTGCAGTGTCACAACATCGACAAAAACTATTACAGAGAAAAAGCAAAGTTTCACGATTCTTTGATACTTCAAATCTTTTTCCATCCAGAAGCTCTCCTCTCCACATCCTCTGGCTCTCTGTTTCTTCCAGTTTCTTTCTCTTCAAAGCAGAGCAAGAACTTTAGGAAAATGTGTGGGGTTTTTTTCAGTAGAGTAAATTCCATACCATTATTAACACTCTTCTGCAAAGTGTAGTTTTTCTGTAATTTTAGAACATTTCACACCATCAAAAGCTAAAGCAAAGTTAAAGTAGAGGTAGACCGATTGCACCATTGCCTGATTAATTAGCCAGATTTTACCATTTAAATAAAATAAATAGCACTGTAAGAGTTTTGTTCTTCTTTTTCAATGAAATGTTGGATTTACTTAACCATGTTATGTTACCTGGTTCCACTTAACTGGGTTGAGYGAATTCAAAGCAACGTACTCATGTTCTTTGGTTAAAAAACTGGTATAATGCTTTGAATTTACTCAACTCAGTTAAGTGGAACCAGGTAACATATTATGGTTAAGTAAATCCATCATTTCATTTTTTTACAATGTTGGTCACATAAATCAGCTGTGCTAATTTCTAAATTTAAGCCCAGCGATTAAAAACCTAAATTGGTTGACCTCTAACACAAAACGTAATTAGATAAGAGTAACTTATCTTGTTTTCTTTTTGCCAGGTGGCGAATCTGCTGCGACTTTTCCAAATCCCTCAGATCAGCTATGCTTCCACGAGTGCCAAGCTAAGCGACAAGACTCGCTATGACTACTTCGCCCGCACCGTGCCTCCTGACTTCTACCAGGCCAAGGCCATGGCAGAGATCCTGCGTTACTTCAACTGGACATACGTGTCGACCGTAGCCTCAGAAGGCGACTATGGCGAAACCGGCATAGACGCCTTTCAGCAAGAGGCTCGGGCCCGCCAGATTTGCATTGCCACTTCAGCCAAGGTGAGCCGGTCCATGAGCCGCTGGAGTTATGAGAATGTAATCCGCTCCCTTCAGCAAAAGTCCAACGCTAAGGTGGTCATCCTGTTCACGCGCAGTGAAGATGCCCGGGAGCTGCTGGTGGCGGCCAACCGCATGAACGTCTCCTTCACCTGGGTGGCCAGTGATGGCTGGGGGGCACAGGAGAGCGTGGTGAGGGGAAGCGAAGCTGTGGCAGACGGGGCCTTCACTATCGAACTGGCCTCCTATCAGATCCCTCACTTCAATGATTACTTCACTGCTCTGCATCCGTACAACAACACCAGGGACCCCTGGTTCAGGGAATTTTGGGAGAACCAGTTCCAGTGCAGCCTCCATGACCTGGGCTGTGGGAAACACTCTTTGCGTGAAGTTCCATTTCAGCCAGAATCAAAGATCATGTTTGTAATGAATGCTGTTTATGCGATGGCTACTGCCTTACACAACATGAGGCAAGCTTTGTGCCCCAACTCCACCAAAGTGTGTGACGCTCTTAAACCTGGCAATGGCCGCAAGTTTTACAGGGATTACATCCTTAAAGTCAAGTTTGATGGTGAGTAAAATCTTGATGAATAAACACTGTTATCTTTGAAGACTAAAAATGTTACCTCTGATATGTATGTCTTTATGGAAATGTAACAAACTATTTACAAAGRATGTCAAATTACGTTATCTAAATTTTTTGTACCAATTTCTACAAAGTAAGTAATTCAACAGCTTTTTACACTACTGTGGATCATTTTTGTTATGATTCCACATTCTCATGCTTTGCAGGAGATAACAGAGACATTAGTTTGCTGCAGACACTCATCACACAAACTGTGTTTGTTTTCCTCTTGTCTACTTAAACAGCATTGTAGAGTAACTGCATCAACTTACCCACATGGCCAATGAGAGACTTACCAATTCAAATGCTCTGACATCTTTGTACTCGCTTTTGGTTAYCCTTCGATTTATGGAAATCGTGACCTTTTTGCTGATGGAAAATAAAGAGGGTCCTGTGCTCTTATCCAGCTGTGCTTTTCTGCTCCTCACATTTTCTAAAAGAAATAAATAAATAGTCCGAAGGATTTTTATGTCCTTTTTGTCTATTATTTCCTTTTTAGTTTCTTTTTAAATCAGTCATTAATTTAGTCAGAATTTTTTTCATTTGTTAAAACTTTCTTTTATTTTGAAAAATAACAAACTCTTACACTTGTGTCTGATCACAGAGAGTAGTAAATCTATACTAAGGCATTTTTAATGTGCATTTCCCAATCAGAACAGGCATATGGTACATTTTGAGTTCTCTGTGTGATTGTTTAGTCGAAAAGYTGTTATCCAATAACACTTCCTGTCACATTTTCTTCTTCCTTTCAGCACCGTTTCGACCCCCTGACACAGAGAATGTAGTTCGTTTTGATGTCTTTGGAGACAGCGTTGGCCGCTACAACATTTTCCACTACCACAAAGAAGGTGGACGATATGTCTACCGCAGTGTTGGCTACTGGGCTCAGAGCCTGACGCTGAACACCAGCCTGATCCCCTGGGCTGGCCAAGTTGTGCCTACCTCCCAGTGTAGTGACCCCTGCAGAAAAAACGAGGTGAAAAGTATGCAGCCAGGAGATGTTTGCTGCTGGATTTGTATCCCATGCCAGCCCTACCAGTACTTGCAGGATGAGTTCACCTGTGCTGACTGCAGCTTTGGGCAATGGCCTCTGGCTAATCTTACAGGCTGTTACAACCTGCCTGAGGAGTACATACGTTGGGAAGATGCCTGGGCCATTGGACCTGTCACCATTTCCTGTTTGGGGATGATGAGTACACTGTTCATCATCGGCCTCTTCCTTAAACACAACGAGACACCTGTGGTAAAGGCCAGTGGACGTGAGCTCTCCTACATTCTTCTGCTGGGAGTGTTGATGTGTTACAGCATGACATTTATCTACATTGCCAAGCCTTCCACTGCCGTGTGTACACTGCGCCGGTTAGGCTTAGGCACCTCGTTTGCTGTTTGCTACTCAGCCCTCCTGACCAAGACCAACCGTATAGCTCGGATTTTCAGTGGTGTGAAGGATGGAGCCCAGAGGCCTCGGTTTATCAGTCCAGCCTCCCAGGTTGCCATCTGTGGTGCTCTGATCTCTTGCCAGCTTGTAGTGGTGGTGGTCTGGTTGTTGGTCGAGGCTCCGGGCGTGAGAAAAGAAGTGAGTCCGGAGAAGCGAGACGTGGTCACCCTCAAGTGCAACAGCAAGGACTCCAGCATGCTCATGTCTCTCACCTACAACTGCATACTCATTATCCTTTGCACAGTCTACGCCTTTAAGACCCGCAAATGCCCGGAGAACTTCAACGAGGCCAAGTTCATCGGGTTTACGATGTACACCACCTGCATCATCTGGCTGGCTTTCCAACCCATTTTCTACGTTACCGCCAGTGACTACAGGGTAAGTTAAATTAAGCAGCAGGGGTTTTCTCCAACTAGCCTTTCCCTGAAAGACAGCAACATTTTACATGCCATACAGCACATGCCTCGGTTATCATCTGTAATAAATTATTTGTTCAGATGGCTTAGAGTTCATGAAATCTGGGAAGAATACATCCTTGCGGATAATGACTTTCTCTGTGGTGTAGCTTGTATTTTGTATGCATCACTGCAGTGCCTGTTCTAAGCCTGAGTAACAGTGTGTTGACGCAGGGCTGAGTGTGTTACACTGATGAATGCTAGTTAGAAAAACAAAATAATTAGCCAAACTGTGTGCACAGCTCATCATTAACACTTCTTTCTTAACAATCACACAGCAGCTGATCAGGATCTAAAGGTGTATATGTGTGAGTTATGATGAATCAAAAACTGACATCAATTATTCTGACAACACAACTTGTTGTGAGGGAAACATCTGTATAAAGATAATGAACAGTGTTGAACACATAGAGAAGTCACATGTTAGTGATGGAGCCATTTTAATACTGCTCTTTGTGAAAACATCACAGAAAGGTTTTAGTAAGTGTGTGCAAGCTGCTCACAAATATGCATGTTTGTGAATGAGTATATTTGAAATTGACAAGTTAAAAGGTGAGGTTTGTTTTTAGGAGTAGTATAAACTTTTCTGTCTGTTTTTGAACAACTTGTTCCTGCAGCATTTTGCCATTAGCTTTTATAAATGTCTAGTTGTAGTTCCAAGTGTCGACTAAAGTGGATGAGGATTTGTTTTTAATGGGTCACAGTTTCATCTTTGTAAAGTCACAGTGTTGCCTTTCTGTTCCTCTTCCTCGCTACTGCTGAGACAAACAGCACAAAGAAAGTTCTCAACAAATTATAGAAATTTAGGCATGTTAGGAGTTTCTGAAAATATCAAAGCTCATAAGTTTGATATATGTATTGTGGGCAAATACATCATTTGTTTTTGAACAAGCAGTATACAACTGTGTCACATTAAATCTGATCTAATTTAACACAACAGACGAGTACTGAACGAGTCGAGGCATCAGCATTGAACAACTTATAAATGGTATTTTATTTGTAAGGAGTTTCATTTAAAAGCTGTTAGATTTCAGCAACCATCATATAAGAATCAAAATTCGATGATGAGTTTATTTGCCTTAAAGTGTTTTAAGTTGCATTAGTAACATTTAAACTGCTTGTAGACAAAATAAAAATTAACAGTCAACTGTTCAAATCTGTCTATAAATCAGAACAGACAGGTTGTTAAATATCTTTACATAAACAAGTCTGGTAAAAAATAGTCATATGTTTTAAATGTAGCATAATTAAGAAGTATTAACATGTGTTTTACTTTAAAACAATTCCATCTAGCTCAAAACAAAAACAGACAAATAAATTAATGAAGTACATATGGTTTTAAACTGAATTGATGGAAGTGCAAACGGCTGGCCTTATTTGTGAGAGATTATCCCTCTGGGAACTGACCAGCGTGCAGCAAGAGGGCAACAGACGGGAGGAACAGGCAGCGCAGTCTTCTGMCACAGCTGCCTTTGCAGCAACATGGAAACAGCAGGCAGGACCATGAGAGCTGAAAGAGGACTGAACGTCTCTGTGTGTCCCTGTGCGTAGCTGTGTGGAATGGAGTGTGAAAGGCCGGGATGCCGAATCCCAGCTGTGCTCCCTCCATCCTGGGACTTCAGTGCTGCTCAGAGGAACCCTTCCTCCAGACCCTTTAGGCAACATAACTCGCAGCCTGGATGGACTCATTAGATAGACAAATCTCCCCCTTTGACTGATGAATAATTAACTGAAGCAACTCAGTTGGCGGAGAGGCTCTGGTTTTTCAGATGCAGTGACATATCACCAGTGTTCTCCTAGTTTTACATCACTTCGCAAAGTGTTGTCACAGCCCTGGTGCAAATCTTCAGGCTGAATAACAACAAATGGATTGTAGTCAGCCATGAAATACGAAACCAATCTAAATTCAGTCCTCTGAGCCATGAATAATGCCTTCGATTATCCTATAAAATATTGAAGACATTCCTTCCTTTCTGAGGACGGTGGGTCTCCTTTGATGTGACTACTGGTCATCTCATTTTAGGAACAAACACAACAAATCATAGCACTCCTATAAAATCCCTGAAGGCTACACAAAATACTGCATGTATAAACCAAGAATGATATTTAACAAAATAGGCACTGAAAGTAGATCATGCCCCTGTTACATCATTTAGGCTCACTGACTGACTTTAGGACAATATTTTGTCACACAAGATTTGAATGATGAAAGATGTCCCATGATGGTTCAACTAGCTCTTGTCTTCAAAGCACAAGACCCAAAATGAAGGATTTCCAAGAGATTATGTGTGTGTGTTTTTATTTCAAACAGATACTGCATAATTAAAATCATTGATGTAATTGTAAAGTGAAATAATTAAATGCTGACATACAGAAACAGTGGACAGGGACGGCAGTGGTCATATTCCTCCCCACATCATGCTCTTCACACTCACTCCACACATCTGGAAAGAATCTGTGAGGACAGGCTGACTTGAAGTCTGCTGCTCTTCTAAAGAAACACCTTGTGAATTATTAAAACCTCTTAACWGGTCATTCCTGCATTGCACTGTCCAGGGTTTTACTTAGACCCATTGAAGAATTAGCCAGCGAGCATTTGCAGGAGTACTGCACAGATCATCATGTCCTATAATGTTTGTCACCATTTGTTCAGGATTTACAGCAAAAAAAAAAATAGAAAACAAAAATCTCAACCAAGAACCTGCTTAGTGGATGCAGTGTTCAAAGGATTTCTATGATAGCATGAAGTGAATCTTGATGCAACCTTACAGCACTTTTAAGAAACAGAGGAAAATTCATTAAAAGTTGTTTTACATTGGGTTCAATAATTAAATCAGAACTGTTATTTCTACGGGGCCCATCTAATGGCAATGAATAAAATATAAATAATGTGTGGCCGCAACATAATTTTTTCAATCATTTCTATGCAGGGACTGGTGATTGTTAACACGGACAAGTTGGAATTAATTTAATTGTTTTGAAATATATGAATGAATACGTCCCTCATTTACGTTAGACTTGAAGTAATTAGCATTATATGTTGCAGCTATAAGACACAGGTAACAACTGAAGTTGTCTTTGTCCAAAAGGCTGTTTTATTTTACTCTCCAGATAGCAAATGATGTTAATTCAAAGTTGATTTTTGGTTAAGGTCGATGATTGATGGTGAATCAACCATCAAACAATCATYCATTTCTAGCCAAAAAACCAATGTTGAAAAGATGTTGAATCAATGTTGTTTCATGGTCGAATTCTAATGACTGAAATGCCAACATCTAATCAATGTTGAATCAACATTGATATGTATCAGTTATGGCTGAAAACCTCACATTGTTTCAACAAGTAAATCACTGACCACTTYTTGTATAATWTCAACACAGATTCAACATCATGCCTARCCATATTTTAATGTTGATTTACTCATATTTTGCTATAAAATGGGCTTCTCTCTCATATCACGCCTTTGCTGCGGAAGGAACACAATTTAAAAAAATCGGTTTTCTGACAGGGTGTTTAAAGTTGTCTCAAATACAGTGGTACTATGAAAAATGAACCATTTACACAATAAACCATGGTATACTGTACACAAAATAAAATAAAATAAAATAAAATAAAATGAAATGAAATAAAATAAAATAAAAAGACTCTATGCAACTTTTATTTATATGTAACTGAAGGGGCTTTGTATTTTTATTTAAAAGTATAGGAAAGCGCTTCCAAAAACTCCTGCATGAAAATTAAAAAAAGGCGTGGGGGGGAGGGGAGTTGGGCTGAGTTATGAAAGACTTATGAAAACAATTAAAGGAAGCATGAAGACATTCCTGCAGTCTTGGGATTCACAAAGTTTTAATCCCATTKGTCAAAATAGCAACATGTAGTTCACAGATGCTATGACTTTAAGAAGCATAGCTGAGACATAAAAAATATAAATCTTCAAATATTTCATTATATTTCAGTTTAATTGAATAAGCTCCTGTTCACTAGCTGTTACTTGATGTTAAAGTGTGTGCACAGCACAACACTCRGTCCTCACATTATTTTCATACCAGCATTAACATTCAGGGTGATGACAAACACCTGCTGTGAAAACGAAACGCTGTTGCCAGAAACCACACAAAACTGAGCTGTAGCCTCTTATTAAAGAGGGCGGAGAAAAAAAGGGCTGTGAAAAGGCTGGAAATGATGGAGCAGACTGAACGCAGCAGCCGCATAAACAAGGTGAGGCAAGAAGGATTGAAGGGTAAAGAAATGATTGACAGGCAAAGACTTAGCTTACCTTGTTTAAAGTGTCTGATGAGAACACCCTCCTGCCTCCTCGTTTACACCTGGCTTGATTCTGAACTGGAAAAAAAAGGCGTAATTTTTGTTTTATTATTTTTTTCCTTAACAGAGCCCTATCATTCCTAAAAAGAAGACACTTGAACGCAAAAGCTTAACTCAGTAATATGACAGCTATAAATGATTCCTGTGTATAAATATATTTTAATAACGCTGCCAGTCTGTTTTGAGAAATAATATTTATTTGTTTATTGGTAAACATCTTTAATCAAGTAAGATGATTTTTAAATTTGTGTCTCTTTTTTCATCCTCCAGGTGCAGACCACCACCATGTGCATCTCTGTAAGTCTGAGTGGCTCAGTGGTGCTGGGGTGCCTCTTCGCTCCAAAAATCCACATCATTCTGTTTCAGCCACAGAAGAATGTCTGCACCCTCAGAGTGGCCACCACCCGCTTCAGCGTCAACACTGGCCCAGCCTCCAGTTTTTCTCAAGGTACCACCTGATAAACAAAACGATGGTAGTTACCAACAAGCTTTAGTTTTAGTAATCCTTTTCTCTCAGCCTAGAGTTTAAATCTGACCAGATTAATGAGCTTAACAGGAAGTTCAACCACAGTGTGTCGCTACTGTCTTAAAAGGAAAAAAGTTGTATAGGTCTTCTGGACGGGTTCTTCTCTAATGAAACGTTTCGTCTCTCTTCCAAGAGACTTCTTCAGTATGAGAGTTTCAGGCAAAATTCAGGCTTTTGAGTCCTGCCTCCAGGTGACTGATACTCACATCACATGGCTATCGTTCACACCTAATTAATACCTATTGTTAACAGGGGGTGGAGAGATACTGCCAATGGCAGCRCTGTAGGAGGGGGACAGCTGAAAACGGAGGCCCCCACCTCTGTCACCCCCTGTTAACAATAGGTATTAATTAGGTGTGAACGATAGCCATGTGATGTGAGTATCAGTCACCTGGAGGCAGGACTCAAAAGCCTGAATTTTGCCTGAAACTCTCAGACTGAAGAAGTCTCTTGGAGGAGAGACGAAACGTTTCATTAAAGAAGAACCCGTCCAGAGGACCTATACAATTTTTTTCCTTTTGATTTTTTTACCTGGATTACTGAGATGCATCAGGACATT